CTTATTAAAAATTATAACATTAATTTGTATTCTACTCATAGTAATTTGAAATCGTCAATTTGTGAACGATTTAATCGTACTTTGAAGAATAAAATGTGGATGCAATTTAGTTTACGCGGTAATTACAAATGGATAGATATATTAAGTGATTTAGTAAATGCGTATAATAATAGTAAGCATTAAACAATAAAAATGAAACCTATAAATGTAAATGCTGAAAAAGAAAATAATTTGATATTTAAGGTATTTAAAAAAGTTGCAGTAAACAGGCAATATAATAAGAAATTTAAAGTTGGAGATAGAGTACGTATAAGTAAAGTTAAACATGTTTTTAAGAAAGGTTATACACCAAATTGGACTACAGAAATATTTACTATAAGCGATGTAAAAAATACTAATCCAATAACATATATCTTGAAGGAAAATCTAATAAGTGGATGTTTTTACGAGCAAGAACTTTCTAAAGTTAAATATCCAGATGTATATTTAGTTGAAAAAGTATTAAAAAAACGAGGATCTAATGTATTTGTAAAATGGTTGGGTTTTGATAATTCACATAACAGTTGGATAAACGAATCTGCATTGTAATGTATTTTAAAAAGGTTAAAATAAAAATAAATTGAATTGTATGCATTTTTGTATTTATTTATCCTCTCTTTACAATAATTTACCATTTATATATTGAATATTTGACATTTGTTGAATAGCTTCATTTGATATTTGTTTACAGTGAAATGTGACAAGTTTTAGCAATAATGTTTCTAAATTTAAAACATTAGTTCTTCCCATCACTTTTTGAAGTATTCTACTGTAATGTTTTTTAATAAAATCCGTGGCATGTTTTGTAGACTTTACATTATTTTTAAAGATTAATTCTGCAATAAACTTTACAATTATATCTTTACTATACTGCAAATTGAATTTTGATAGTTCTACATATTTTTGTTCAACACAAGGAATAAGTTCATTAAATATTGCAAATGAAGTTTCACTAAATGTAAATGATTGATCTAAACGCTGAATTGATATTAAACGATATGTAACACTAAAACGTATTGTAAACGTTTCACAATCCAGCACTGATGCATCACAATCTCCGTTGAAAAATCGCATTATATGTTTTACTGCATCACACAATAGGCGCCATTCTTGAAGCTCCAAAGACAATGATACTCGTGGATGGCTGCTTCTTAGTTGAATTTTAGGTATTATATTCCCATTTATGTTTAGTTCTGCTCCAACGACAACTTGCTTTGTAAATGATGGATTCAAGTTGTAAATTTTTGATAATAACATTTCTCTGCATGGTAAATATGACATTTTATGTCTTCTACTGGTCAACTCCCTCAGGAACAAACTCTATCTGATTGTAAGGTCATCCACGATTTCTTAAATATACACCACCTCTGACAGCTTCAGCTTTTAGACTGTTGAAAAGATTTGCATCCTCTTCAAATATTTTTAGCATTCTTGGTGGTAGAAAAATGTTAAATTCATTATTTATTTCAGCAATAATTTTCAGACCAAATTTCGTATCAATTTTTCGAATGTCTGTTAGTTTATAGAATGCATCGATGGTTAACTCCTTTATTGTTTTGGTGACCAAGACTTTGCTTGCCTTGTTTAATTTATCGAAATTCATTTTTATCACTTAAATTTAAATTTTCAAATTTTTTCACTAAAATATTTAACTGTGACCTTTCTTCAATTAAACTTTTAACTTTATCAATTTCTTGTATTAATTTGTTTAATCGCACTTAAATTTCACTATGCTTTGCTAATAATATGTTCATCAGCCAACTTAAACTGAAGGAATGATTTCGTTTAGAAAAATTGCTCTCTTTATATACACAAGATATGACCTATATAACCTTGAATTTAATTATAGTTTTCTTAGAATTGCGGTAAGATCAAAAGCATTTTTATGAAAAGTACCGAAAATATTGACCGGAAGCAATAAATCAAAGATATCATAAACAACAAGTACATGGGAAGAATTCCTTAGATAAGAATCTAATAAATAAGATATCAAATTACATGTAAAACAATAGCTTAAATAAAGACAATAATTCCAAGAAATAAAAAGGTATCAAATTACACGTGGGAAAAATTCCTTAGATAAATCCCAAACCGGAAGCAATAAATCAAAGACATTATAAACAACAAGTAAATGGTAAAAATTCCTTAGATAAGAATATATCAAATTACACAAGCAAAATTCTAGGAAGTGTGACGTCATATCCATCTCAGCATCATGGTCTGAATCGCACCCTCACCCGTGATGTCATATCCGCCTCAGAATCATGGTCTGAATCGCACCCTCCCCCAAATGGTTTGAGTCTGGGCTAAAAGTGTCGGTGCAGGAATATGTATGTCGTCATTTCCGCCTTAATCATCAAGATCTTACCCCCCCCCCCTCCCAATGGTCTGAGTCTGGGCTAAGAATGTCGGTAACATGTCGGTGCAGGAATGTGTATGACGTCATTTCCGCCTAGTCATCAAGTTCTTACCCCCCCCCCAATGGTTTGAGTCTTGGCTAAGTGGTTTGAGTCTGGGCTAAAAGTGTCGGTAACATGTCGGTGCAAGGATCTAGAGTTAGAACCGGCCCTGCCTATCTACTGGCGTCGATAAATCGGCTGTACTCAGTTAAGGTTTTTCGTAGTTTCCCTTGACTATGGCTAGAGAGGGCCATGTGAATACGAGTACTTCTAATAAAAGCCGGCTACGGACCGCAATATAGGGGGAATTGGGAATCTGGGGAAATTTGGAGAATATAACAAGGGGGCTGTCAATATATGTAAAAACCCAAATGGGGTATACATGAAGAACAATAGTAAACTTTTAATGATGAAGAGTTTTTTTTGAATTTTAGATAAATGGGGTAAAGTTTTAATTATTTATGTGCAAAAAAAATTTAAAAATCAATTAATTTATACCATATTTTTGAAAAATCATTTTGTGAAAAAAGAAAATATTTAAAAGAAAAAAATGAAAGAAATAGATTAAATTGAGTTAAGTATAATCAGCAATTCAATTGGATTGGAGTAAATTAAATAAATATAATTATAATTAATAATTTAATTCGATTGGAGTAAATGAAAGTAAATATATAAATATGATTAATAATTTAATTCGATTAAAATAAATTAAAGTAAAAAGAGAATTAACAATTTAAATTAAAAAGAAAAATTCAACTCAAATTAAATGTGAAAAAAATGAGTTTAATTACAAACATATTAAATTGATATGAATAAAAATGAAACAAATAATTAAAACTTCATCCCTAGAGACCTACACTTTGTGCGAAGCGCATAATCGCATAATTTTCAAAAATTAAAAGAAAGTTTAAAGTTTTACGTATTAAAATGTTTATGAATAAAATAAAATAAATTTAACGTCGCATCAAAACGCATAATTTTTTTTCACCGCACAATTTTTGAATTCTCGCATAATTGTGGATAATTTTTTTTTGTGCAAGAAGTATAAAAATATTTCAGTCTAAATCTGCGTTAACGAAATATCTGTTTATAAATACATTTTATCATAAATTTATGAATAAAATTAATCATCCATAATTAGAAGGCCAATCCTAGTTGTAATTTTCAAGAAATCGGTTTTTCTTTTCTTGTATTTTTTCTAAGTTTACCCACACAACACCGAAAATTTCATAAATATTTACTAAAAATTTACTTGCAAGTATGGATTTTACTTGCATAGTTTAGTAAAAATTTTGCAAAGATTTAAATGTCCCACTTCAATAAATGTTGAGCTAACTTTGCAAGTAAATTCTTCGAAGTTTGCAAGTAAATCTTTAATAAATTTTTAGGAAAGTTTCGGTTCTGTGTGGGTAGGGTCTCAAACATATGTTTGTGAAATAATAAGTTGATATTTTAAAAATTGAGTGAGATATAAAGCTTTAAAGATCTGAAGTAAGGTTCAGTTAAGTCTGGCTTCCTGTAGCCCGGAACAAAATTTCGTCTAATGAAAGAGTATGATAAAATTTTAAACTCGTTTTTCTTAAGACCGCATTTTCCAAATCGGTGATCGCACTATTTCTCAAAAACTACTGCACTGAATCTCCGATTTTTCTTGAGTTTAATGGGCTTTTTTAATACATAAGAATCTACTCCTCACCTCAATAGAATGATTTCTTTTTTTAAGAAAGGGGTCGTCCATAAAGCATGTGATATTTGAAGGAGTAGGGGGATCCATAAAATATCATGCTTCATATTAATCATTAATGGAAAAAGTATCAAGATGGGGGGGATAAAATTTCGGAAATTAAGTATGCTTTCTGGATGACCCCAAACAATATCTTTTTACAGCTGAGAACCCACAGCATTTTTTTATCTTTTACTTTAACTAAATTCGTTTGAATTTTGTATTTCTGAGAAACCAGCTCCTTGTTACCGTGGTCATCGCAAAACATATTTCTTATGATGACCTTTACTCTATATTTATAAAGAATAAGTTGCTTTATTTAAAAATGTTGGTGGTTTTTCTTAAAAAAAATTAACATAATGTTAAAAGCTTTATTTGGGTCCTTAATAACGTTTTTCTTTCAAAAGCATCAATTTGCACTTTTTAATTTTTCAACGCATAATAATCAGTTTTTCAGGGCATAATCCAGTAATTTTCAGCGTCATAAAATACTGTCCTTATTCATCCCATTGTTTTAAAATTTAACAGCACTTGAAAAAATAAAAAAAATTTAGTAGATTTTTGACAAATTATTTAGCGAAAAGTGAAAAGAAATTATGAAAGCATAATTGGCCAAACACGATAAAAAAAAATTCTCAAGACACAAGTTTTTGCTCCAGTAAATACTTGGCGTTTCTCTCTAGAACAAATTACACAAACCCCAAACCACAAAATTCCGGTTTCAATTTCTGTTTTAAAATTGCAATTTGAATAATGCTCTCTCTCTCTTTATAGGAAGAGGAAAATCACGTAGTAGATGGTAACATTATTCTTCTGTTTATTTTTTTGTCTCTCTATAGGGAGAGGAAGATCACGTAGTAGAATTTGAGGATGGCTGGTCCCGACTTCTGGCAAGTATCGGTCTGTTGATTGCCAGTGTTGCTGATCTTTTGGTATCCGGATACATTTGCGTGACCCTGACTCCCAAGCTCTGTGGCTGTCTCAAGTCAAATCCCGATGATGAGACCGATGGACGGCTCAAGACCCGTAACATGGTTCACCAATGGGTAATTGCACAAAACCACGTGCCCAAGAGCCATCAGCCGATCTACGTGGTGCAGTCGGTGATGCCAATGCACCCTATAATTCAGGTAAATATCTAATGTTTTTCTTGTTCGCATCCATCGCGTTACGAGTCTTGACCTCATCGTCAGAAGTCAGTGACACGATAGAAAGTTCAGCAGGCACGCGAGAATGAGAGAGAGAAAGAAAGAAAACGTTTTTCCCGCTCGGATCGCTGGGAGAAACTCTCGCGGTAGACAGCCGCAGGCAATTGGATGCCTACATTTAGGAATTTCGAGGACGACCACAATATATATTTGTGTGTGTGTTCTCATTTGTTTCAGCATCCTTATGGAATGCATCCACCGCCTGGGAAATATCCCACAGGGTTTGTACCAGCCGGAACTCTTCCTTTAGCAGCTCCTAGTTATGGCGCCATGCCCATACTTCCGCACATGGGCTACCCCAGTCGACCACCATCGCAAATGGTTTGTATTCTCTTTTCGTTTTTTACTGTCGTAATCATGACTATTTTTGATTGAGTAATAAATTTTCCATTCGCCGCAACTGGAATTATAATCAACATTCCCACGTGATAAGAGAAACAGGGTTGCTACAAAAGTTTTCTTTTGAGTGATCGATTTCTTCTTGTTTTATAATAATTAAAGTATGACCGAGTGATAAAATAATTTCATCATTTCAATTCAATTATTATTTTCTACAATTTTGTAACTAAAATTCTTCTATAAATAAACTATTGTTTTATTATAATAATAATAATCTATCCTCACCTGAAGTTAGTATTGTTTTATTCAATTATTTGTTTTATAGTTCGAATTGTTATGTCAAAAGTTTGACAGTTCATTTGTAAATAATAAAATAAGTGGAGTAAAAAAATTTAACCCCAATTTCAAAAACTCAATAAAGAGGTACAGTTGCTAATTTAAAAATAATTAATTATTTTACGAATTATTTATTTTTATATTTAAATAATTGAATTCTGATAAGAATTAATTTTAAAACAAATTTTAGTTAAAACTTCAGAAAACAATTAGAAGTGTTAAAGTAGGATTCTTTAAAAATAATTAAATTTCAAAAAGGTTTTAAATTTCAATCTTTGAAATTCTAATTGTTGTAAAAGTATCATAATATTTAAATATATAAAAAATGATTAATTTGTTAGCTTCCTTAAAAATTAAAACTTCTTAATAATATTCAAAAATTTTAAAAAAATAATTGAATTGTGGAAAACTTGCAGTTCAAATAATAAAAAAATTTTCCAGTGGTTTTACATTGAAATTATTTCGAAATTTTAGGCAAATAAAGAACAATAAGTATTTAAATATTTATTTTACAAAACTGATTGAAATTTGAAAGATTTAATTTGGAAATTCAGAAAAAATTAGGTTTTTGAAAAATAGTACCTAATTAAAATTTTTAAAGATATTTTTAAATTCACAAAAATAATTTTAAAAAATTGGAAATTTTTCATCTCTACACGGAAAAAATTAGTTCAGTACATTTTATGAAACTAATTAAATCAGGGTGTCCGCTGAAGATATGAAATAAATAGAGAAAGGTAGATTATGCATTTTGAGTCCCTCTAATTATGCGCTTAAATTGTGCACAATTATGCGGAATTATGCGCTTAAATTGTGTACAATTATGCAGAATTATGCGACTAAAAAGATGAATTCTGCGTTAGTTATGCGATAAAATGAGCATGATTATGCAGAATTATGCAATTAAAAAGAATTCTGCTTCAATTATGCGCTAAAAAATGTTCATTTTACAAAATTATGTTGCATTTAAAAAAAATTTTTTGATTTGGAACAGTTACTGGTTATTTTTCGAAACCAATTTCATGAACGGCCCTATCCCGAATGTCTAAAATCCCAAATACCTTTTTCCCGAATCTAATTTCCCAAAGATTTATGTACCAAACATTTTTTTTGTTTTTTATTAAAATATGGATATATGTGCGACTGCAAGTAAGAATTTAGTTTTTTTGAAGTAAGTAAACCCATTGCAATAAAATTCAGGAATTTCAATCTACACATAAAAAGGAATGTTTCCACCACACTTAATTCAGCAAAAAAAACGAAAAAATTGTTTATATTATGTTTATACAAATTTTTATAAACAAAACAGGTATTAAATAATAATTAAATAACTCTTGAACGACCAAACGAAATTGAATGAGGCAAACACTAAACAAATCTTTGCTGTGGTTTCTTTAAGATTCCGAAAAAAATTTTAACAACGGAAACATCTTTATACAAAATTTTGTATAAAAGTATTCGGGATTTTAGATATTTAATAAATTAGACATTCGGACACGGCCTTTCGGGAAAATGACCGGAAACGATGTTACTCATCATATATACACTGTAAAAAATTTAGGGAGTTAACGGACTCGGGAGTTAAATTTTTTGAGTTAGAAATCAACTCCAAAAGAGAGTTAAATTCTAACTCCCTTCATTCAACACCCGCGCGAGTTATTTTTTCCATGGGGAGTTAGCATTTGGGTGTTAAATTTTAACTCTCTTTATTTAACTCCCCTGGCATTAACTCTCCAATGGGTGCGACTTTTATAGAATCCCCTGGGGAGTTAAAATTTAACTCCCTTTTTTACAGTGTAGTACTTACTGCTTTTTAAAATTTAAGATTTATTTAATTTTTCAATAACATTTAACAAGTTAGTTTATAGTTTAAAAACTTATTTATTTTATTATTTAATTTAAAAAAATATTTTAAAAATAAAGAAACTAAAATTTTAAAAAAAATAATGAATTAATTAATAATTTAATTAAATTAATTAATTAATTAATTAATTTAATTTAATTTAATTTAATTTATATTAATTATTATTTTTAAATTACATATTAGAAATATTAAATATTTTAAAACAATTCTTCTTAGAAATAATTATCCTATTGATTTCATAGACAAATACATTAAGAAACGCATTTGTTCTATTGAATCCAATATTCAAAAAAACAATGTCAATTCATTTTTATATAGAAAATCACCAAAAGTATTTTTACCATATGTACCAAAGTTGTATGAAAAATCTTCATCAATTCTTAAACAATATAATATTTTAACTGTACCAACTAATAATAAAGTTTTGAATCATAATTTAATCAAAAAGGGTAAAGATATAAATAAAAAATCCGAGATTACTAACGTTGTTTATAAAATTAACTGTAAGGATTGTTCAGCATCTTATGTTGGTGAAACAAAAAGAATGGTGGGGGTTCGTATTAATGAACACAAAAAAGCTAAGATTGGCGTCACTGCTACTTATAGAAACTTACAAAAACATGACTTTGATTGGGGTAATTTTTACATACTTGACAAAGAATCTAATGAGAGCAAACGTTTAATATCCGAAATGATTCATATTAATTTGCAAAAGAATGCAATAAACAAAAAAGATGATACTCAAAATCTTAGTAATTGTTATCTCCATTTCCTTAATGAGAGAAAATATTTATAGTGTTTTCTTTGTTTGGTAACACCTTGACATTTCGTCTATTTATTATTCGCATTATTGTAATAAGTTCATTGAACTTACTTTTACTCTTTTCATACTTATTCTAATGACTTTATAATTGATCAGTGTCTATTAGCAATCGTGTCAACCCAGTAAAAAAAAACTAATTCAAATGAATTGAAACGAATTAACATTTTTGGTAGGCTCCAATTCGTATTTGTCACAAAGCGGGATTCACTCAAGCTCTTTGTATATTCAATTGAATTTAATTCAATATGTACCAATTTGTCCAAACGAATTCGCATTCGAAAGAAATGGCCAAGGAATGCATTGAATTCGTGCTAACGAATTGAAAAAAAATTAAAGGCTCAAAACTTGTCCAGTGAATTGGTACGGATAGAAGGTTCAGAAGTTCAATACAGTTTCACGAATTCAGGAAAATTGCATCATGGCTCCAATTCGTATTTGTCACAAAGCGGGATTCACGAAAGCTCTTTGTGAATTCTTTTTAATTCATTTCAATTAGTTTTCGTTTACTGGGAAGCGAGACGTTTTAACAATCGACAAATTGTTTAATAATGTCCAAATTTTTATTTATATTTTTTTCAATGGTAAATATTTTTTGTTAAATACTTTTATTTTTGTAAAATAATTTTTTATTTGTAAAAGTATTTTATGTACGTGTATTTATAAATTATAATAAAATTTCAATTTCTGAAGAGGACGGCTGTGCCGTTGAAACGTTAGGAAAAAAAATTTTTTTTTTTTAATTTTTTTCATTATTTTAAATGACTCGGAGTGATCGATAAAGTCATCATTATTATTATAATATTATAATGTTTCTACTTGATTTTTTTTCTACTGACATGGCAGTTAAATCTACTAAACAGAATCGTTAGGTTTGGACTGACGGTACAGACAGTGCCATCTACTGCACTGTTTAGTAAGATAGTAAGATACACTGAGCAAACAGTATATTCTACTAAACAGAGAGGTGTCGTAGTGTATTATACTAAACATACAGTTGGCGCCACTAACCGGTGCACTAAATGATTTACTAAACGCGTTCTGTCACATTTACTGCAACTCTTCTCTCCGTGTGCAATCGCATAATCTACCTTTCTCTAGAAATAAAATTCCCATACATTTCCCGCATTTTTTACAAAATTCCCGTACATAAAATATAAGGGTTTGCATACAATATTGTATAAAAGGTAATACAGTAGAACCCGGTTAATACGATCCCGTTTAATACGATTTCCCGCTTAAGACGCTCATTTATGGTGGTCCCTGCAATTAAAGACATATGTACATTTTATTTCCCGCTTAATACGTTTTCCCGCATAAGACGCATTCTTTGCGCGGCCCATACGAAATCGTATTAACCCGGTTCTACTGTATTAAGAAAAAGTAATAGAATTTTAAATGTTTATTTTTATATTATTTAAATAACATTTAATCAGCATTAATATGTTTATAGTACACTGGAGTCACAAAGTTTCAGTACATTTGGACTGATTATATACATTTGAATGGTCGCTTCACTTCAAATTCAAATATTGCAGTAAAAATGGGTGTAAAAGCACTCAAACTAGGATCATTTTAAAGTTTAATAAATTTGGAGTGAAATGAGCTAAGATATAACCAATTTAATGATGTAAAAATTAAATTATAATTAAAGTTAGAGATTTCTTTGTGAAAATAGCGATTTTGAAATCCTGAGTTCAAGCGAACGCCAATTATATAAATAATTTTTTTAAGCTTTGACAGTTGTACAATATGAAGTATAAATTCTGTTTTTAATTCTAGACCAAAATCATTCACAAATATTAAGTATTTTTTCAAATTCTATAAAAATAACTTCTCTTGCTCTAAATTTTTCAAAGTATATAAATTACAAATTCGTCGTTTCCGTTCACTTCACTGAGAAAACTGGATAGTCAAACTTAGAGGGTTAGGTTTTGAGTGTTAAGCCTGATTCTCTGGATA